TTATTGTCTGTAGTTGTTTTTGATGATTCATTGGGATTTTCTATATATAGGATTCTGTCATCTGTGAAGAGAGATAGTTCTTATCAATTTGGAAGCTTTTTATTTATTTTTATTGCCTAATTTATCTGTCTAGAGTCTGGTATGATATGGAATACAAAGGGAACCACTCAACTTCTGGTCAAGATGGTAGAGCAGGTAAACACTGTGCTCACTCCCTCCCATGACCACATCAAAATGACAAATTATAAAACAACCATCCTGGAGAACCACCTGAGGACTCACTGAACAGAACTCCTATAACTAAGGATATAAGCAAAAAGCCATGCTGAGACTGGTAGGAGGGGTGGATATGTAAAACAGGCCGGTCCCATACCCACCTGTGGCAGATGAGAATCAGGAAGGATATCTTGGCTGCAGGGTCCCCACTAGGAGCAAGGGGTCCCAAGCCCACCACAGGCTCCCCAGCCCAAAGTACCGGTGCCAGGAAGATGAGTCCCCACAACATCTGCCTGTGAAAATCGGCGGGGATTCTGTCCAGGTGAGACAGTGGGCTGCTAGAAATCCAGGCATCCTCTTAAGGGGCCTGCAAACAGATTCACTCACTCACGAACACTCATCCTAAGCTCCAGCAAAGGGACAGCAGCTCGAAAGATACTAGGGAAACATGAGAAGAAACTGAGTTGTGTGGCTTCAGGATGAGGGCTGGAGAAGTTGCCACTGGTTCTGTGAAGAGCCCTTCTGCCACACAGCTGCAGGTACAAACAGGCCCCAAATCTGAATCTGCATTAACTTAGAGAACACTACTCCTCTTGCCCTGGTGACTCCCTGAGACCCCACCTAACCCCACTCATGCACTATCCAAGTTTCTGCAACTGCAGTTGACTGTGGCCCAGGCTGCAGGCATTTCTAAAAATTCTCAAAGATCCACAGCCCTATGCAGGTGGCACCTGGTCTCTGAGTGCCCTGTACCTCTCTATATAGATACTTTTTATTGATTTCAGATTGGGAGAAGGAGAGAGAGATAGAAACATTAATGATGAGAGAGAATAATTGATAGGCTGCCTCCTACATGCCCCCTACTGGGGATTGAGCCCACAGCCTGGGCATGTGCCCTTGACCAAATTCGAACCCTAGGACCCTTCAGTTCACAGGCTGATGCTCTATCCACTAAGCCAAACCAGCTAGGGCTGCCCTGTACCTCTTGATGAGCATCCACACAGGCCTGTCACTAATGGCAACCAGCTTTGGTTCACAGTGTAGCCTCTCCCATATGCCTCTAGGCCCAGCACAGGCAGCTAAAAATTGCAAATCAGTCATTTTGTAGCTCCTACCAGGTGCACCAGGCTCCAGAACCAACACACCAGGTGGTCAGCTTCAGACCACAAAAGAGCACCACATGATTAAGTCCTTAAACGGCACACCCAAAAGGTGGTCTTGGCAGGCACCAGAGTTATGCTGGAGCAAATCTTGCTCCATGGGATAAGCCCCAGCTTAGCAGCTCGTGCACTGTGGTCATGGCCAGTTTGCACACCAAGTTAGCCTGAGGTTCACCCCACTAAGTAATATGCAATCAAGGCTCAAATACAAGAAGAGAGCATACACAATCAACAAAAGGAACACTTTTAGAAACCTGGCTCAGGTGACCAGGGAGACTGCACCACTGGGCCTCATAGGACACCTACTACAAACAACCATTATGCCAAGACTGATCTACCTAACATATAGAAGCAAAAATAGAAAAACAGTCAAAATTAGGGGACAAAGAAAAATGTCCCTAAAGAAAGAACAGAAGAAAGTTCAAAATATTGGTTATAAGGATGTTTAGTGAATATAGGGGAGGAAGAGATTAACTCACTAAAAGAACTTCAACAAAGAAATAGTAAACATAAAAAAGACATAGAAACCATAAAACCCAACCAGTCAGAAATGAAGAATACAATAACAGAAACAAAGACTATATTGGGCAGAATAAACAGTAGATTAAATGAAACAGAAGATGCAATGAGTGATTTAAAACATAGGGTAGTGGAAAATACCCAATTAGAATAGCAGAAAAAAATACTAATGAAATGATGATATCTTAAGGAACCTCTGAGACATCAAATATAACAACATTCACATCATAAATGTACCAGAAGGAGAAGAGAGAGAAAAAGGGACTGAGAATCTATTTGAATAAATAATGACTGAAAACTTTTTTAACCTGTGGAAGGAAATAGATATACAAATACAGAAAGCACAGACAGCCCCAAAAACTGAATTTGAAGAGGTCCACACCAAGACACATCTGTGAAGAGAGATAGTTCTTATCAAGGGTTAAAGACAAAGAGAGAATCTTAACAGTAAGAAAAAACACACAATTAGTTACATACAATGTAATCCCAGCAATCAGCCTGATTCACACTGTCTACTCAGCCCTGGTCCCATTCAATTTACAGCCCCACCCAAGCTGTTTTCAGAGGCTTTTCCATTTGAATGACCTATTCTGGCTCAGGCTTCATACTTTTCTAAAAAAAAATCTCTCAAACAAACTGGTGTCAGCATGTCCCATGCCTATCAGTAAGAAGCCCAAGACAGCTTGGCCTCACCTGGGCACTTCCAAGCCCAACACAAGTAACAGCCATATGCAGATTGCTCTGTAGCTCCTGATGGGTGGCCTCAGGTAGTGACTAACTTTGCATCCACTGGGAGGCCCCAGAACCAGTGCACCAGCTTCAGACCACACCGATTACAACTCTTCACATCCACAAATGACACACTCCAGGGGCAGACTCAGTGAGCACCAAAGCCCCCCTGAAGCAAGTCCTGCTCCACAGGGGTGTCTCCTGCATAGGAGTGGTTCTCAGAGCCAATCAGCCTGCATGGTCAACTTCTCCCGGTGACCCAATAGCAATCAAGGCTCAACTATAACAAGACTGTGCACACAGTCCACACAAACGAAAGAAGAAATCTCCAGAAAAAGAACTAAATGAAATGGAAGCAAGCAAACAACTAGATATAGAATTCAAAACCATGGTTATAAGGTTGCTCAAAGATCTTAATAATGAGAGCTTCAAGGGACTTAGTGAGAATTCAAGAATTTTGAGATGTGAAAAAGGACCAGTCAAATATTAAGCATAAACTTACTGAAATAAAAAATAATTTACAGGGATTCAACAATAGAGTAGAGGATTTTGAAAATCAAATCAATGATTTAAAATAGGCAGCAATGCCAAAACCGGTTTGGCTCAATGGTAAAGCGTTGCCTGCAGACTGAAAGGTCCCAGGTTCGATTCTGGTCAAGGGCATGTACCTGGGTTGTGGCCACATCCCCAGTAGGGAGTGTGCAAGAGGCAGCTGATCGATGACTCTCTCATCGATGTTTCTAACTCTCTATCTCTCTCCCTTCCTCTCTGTGAAAAATCAATAAAATATATTTTAAAAATAAATAAATAAATAAATAGGCAGCAAAAATACCCAAACAGAAGAGCAAAAAGAAAAAAAGAATAAAAAAATATGAAGTTAGTGTAAGGACCCTCTGGGACAACTTAAGCATACCAACATTCACATCATGAGGATGCCAGAAGGAGGAGAGAGAGAGAGCAAGATATTGAAAACCCATTTGAAGAAATAATGATAGTAATCTTCTCCTAACTGATGAAAGAAATACACTTACAAGTCTAGGAACCCAAAGAGGCTTACACCAAGACACATTATAATATAAATGACAAAGGTTAAAGACAAAGAGAAAAATCTTAAAAGCAGCAGGAGAAAAGCAGTAAGAAGAAGAAAAAGAAGCAGCAGCAGCAAAAGAAAAAAGATAAAAAAATATGAACAATAAAAAGGCAATAAATACATATCTATCAACAATTGAATCTAAAAAATGGAACAAGGAATATAATGAACAAAATAAACTGGTGAATGAAATAGAACCAAAGGTATGGAACAGACCAATGAATCTCAGAGGGAAGGGAGGGGATAGTGATTGAACAAAGAACTTGTATGCATATATACATTACTTATGGACACAGACAATATGATGGTGAAGGAAAGCCTGGGCCAGGGGCAGGAACTGGATGGATGAGACAATGGAGACTGGGGGGGTAGGAGAAGGGGAGATCTATAATACTCTCAAAAATATTTTTTAAAAGTAAGGAAAATGGAAAAAAATCTCATAGGAAAAATAATATATAGAACAGCCAATAATCAATTGACCAGCTATTAAAAATTAGTTCAGTGAGTTGGCTAGAAACAAGGTCAATGTGCAAAAATCAAAACTATCACTGATTAGCAAATGCAATTTAAAAGCATCTTTTACTTAGCCATAAAAATTCTAAGTACAGCCGAAACTGGTTTGGCTCAGTGGTAGAGCATCGGTCTGTGGACTGAAAGGTCCCAGGTTCGATTCCAGTCAGGGGCATGTACGTTGGTTGCAGGCACATCCCCGGTAGGGGGTGTACAAGAGGCAGCTGGTCAATGTTTCTCTCTCATTGACATTTCTAGCTCTCTATCTCTCGCCCTTCCTCTCTGTAAAAAATCAATAAAAATATATATTTTTTAAAAATTCTAAGTACAAACCTACAAAGAAAATACAAAGTTTTTAGGCACAAAATGAGAATAACTAGTAAGTTTTTTTAATAGGCTAAAAAGATTAAGTTAAATTTACTATCTTAGGAAACTTTGAAAATTTTGGTCTTAATAAACTAAATTATTAAGTCCACACTCAAAGTAGAAGTAACTATTTTTTTGTATACAACAAAGCCAGCCAGAGATAAAACAAAGCTCCAGAGAAATAGGTTGGGATTGCAGTCCTCAGATACCTGCAACTCCGTAAGGGACAGAACACTTTCTTTCCTTAATGCCATAGAGCCACCATCCTTCCACAAGCTCAAAAAAAAAAAAAAAAAAAAAAGAAAAGAAAAGAAAAGAAAGAAAAAAGAATGAAAAGAAAAAAAGAAAGAAAGAAAGAAAGAAAGAAAGAAAGAAAGAAAGAAAGAAAGAAAGAAAAAAAAGGGGGGGGGAGGGGGATTGATGCTCCATTTTGTTCTCTTACCTGATTGGGAGATGAGTCCCCATCCTGTCACCCAGCAGGTAAGGTTATTCAGGTTCATGTTTGGGGTTGCAATGCAGATGGGGAGTACAGAGTCAGAGAATACAATTGGACTTTTCAGCTGCACCAGAGCGACGTCACCTCCAAGAGGGTGGTACATTTCAAATGTATGATGAATAATAACCTTATTCACCTCAAACCACTGGGTATGGTTGCCTGCGAGCTTGAGGTCCACAAGGCCCACGTACATATCAAATGCCGCAGGGCTCCTGTTCCTGTGGGGACAGAGAACAAAGGCACAGTGGCTCAAGCACCTTGAACCTGGGGAGAGGAGCCACCATTATGAGCTCACCGACACAGGGAGGCCTGGGAGCGAGGCAGCTTGGTGTTCAGGCTCTCAGTCAAGATGTGGAAAAGTAATCCTTGCAGGACAGTGGGGATTTGGTTGTTTGGGAAAATGTCCCCCAGAGAAGTCTTGACGTGGGCCCGTGGGAAACCATCAGGATCTGCTGGCCACCAACAGCCCAGGATGAGCTTTTCAGGTGAAAAGTGGCCTGTCCAGAGGTCAGTCTCTCCTCAGCTCTCACCCTGTGATGTGCCTCTTCTCCTCCCCTCCCCTCTCATGCTCTGAGTCTCCTCTCCTCCCATCTTATCCTGGGATGTATTTCCTCTCCTCCTATGTCTCCTCTCCTCCCATCCTATGATGTGTTTTCTCTCCTTTCATACGATGATGTGGCCCCTCCATCTCTCATGTGAGCGTCTCAGCCGCCCTATGGTGTGTCTCCTCTCCTCAGCTCTCATCCTATGATTTGGCTCCCCGCCTATCTCAAAGAACAGATGGGCCTAAGGACCCCCCGCAGCCCCCCCTCCTCCCACACACACATACCCTGGCCCTGTGTCAGAAGCTATAGAGGATGGAGCTGTGTGCTAGGCCCACTCTCTCTCCAATTCCAATTGTCCCGCTCCACCTGTCTTGCATGGTCAGTCCCTGGACCTCCGGGGAATGGCATCCGGCACCACTCACTTGCTAAAGCAGTGGGCTGCTGACAGGATCCAGTACTCATTGATGATGGACCCTCCGCAGATGTGGAAGCCCCCGTAGTGCACGCTGACCTGCCATGGCCACTTCCCCTCAGGGGCGTCCGTGCCCCCTAGGATCCTCCCCTGCACGTGGCGCCGGCCACAGGCTGAGTGGAGAGAGACAGAGCGTGTGAGTGCAGCTGTGCAGGAGCAGGCCAGGCCAGGGGCAAGAGGAGGGAGGGAGGATTGCGGTGCACCAGAAGTTTGTGTGTGTGTGTGTGGGGGGGGGGGGATAGGAAAGGGGAGGGGAGACTGGGGTAATAGGGAAGCAGAGAGGAGGATAGGAGAGAGCAGGGGAGGATGAGGACGGAAGGGAAGGCAAGGAAAAGGGGTCTCCAACATGGAAGGGGAGGGGAGGGAGGATGCGCCTCTGGAACCACTCACAACCATGCTAGGGTCCTACCCACGGCCTGGCTCAAGGTGATCCCTTCGCTGTCGAGGTGCCTGCGGGGCAGCAGCAGCAGCAGCAACAACAGGAGGAGGCCCGAGGCTTTGCTGGAAGCTCCAGGCCCAGCACCAGGGCAGGAGGGCGGGGTGGCCATGAGTCTGAGGGCCCCCGGGTGCGGTGGCTGGAGCCCGTGGGACTCCCCCTGGTGCGGCCGCGCGGTGTGATGGCGCAGCACCAACGCCAGCGCCTCGCGCGCTGGAACCTCAGCACATGGTTTGCCCCTGCGGCTCAGGCTCCAGGGGGCTCCGCTCCGCTGCTCTCTGGGCGCCTGGGGCCCTGGCAGGTCACGCGCTCACTTACACGTGGACGTGGCTCTCAGCGGCCTGCACCGCCCTCCCCTCCCCTCCTACCCCCACACACAGGTGATAGACTCTCTGTGTCCTCACACCCGGTCAGCTGCGGTGGGTGGTCTCCAGTGGCCCCACCCCAGGGCGGCTGTGGTCATGCAGCCAGCAGGTCCGGGTTTGGCCATAGGACGCACGCAGTAGTATGGGGAAGTGCAAGCACAATTCCTCACCTGCTTACCAATGAACAAAGCAAGTTATGATACCATCAGCGAAGAGATGGTGGTAAGGTCATTGTGCCACCTTCGCCCCTGAGGCCTCGGAGCCCCGCTGCCCTGACAGGATGGGCACCAACGCACAGCGCTGCCTTCCAAGGAAACCTCACTTCCAGTACAAAGTTGATTTTCATGTGAGGTTTACATCTCACAACGTGTTCTTTTGTTTTCCCTCAAGCGTAAACACATGTAAAAATCATTCTTAGTTCACGAGTTACATAGAAACAGGTAGCTTGCCAGTCTCTAGGTATTTTGTACATTTACAGGTGCAGGGTACCCCCCAAAGATATACACACCCTTTAACAGCTGATTGTAGGACACTCTGAAAATAAGATATATTTTAATAAACACTGCCTTTATAATTAAAACACCCCAGGAAACTCCCCACTGGCTTCTCCTTTCAGTCCTGAGATCCCTAGTCCACCTCCTTTTGTCCACCTCACAGAATCTTTTGGTGAGTGACTTGTGGTGTTGTGATTAGTGGCAGAAGTAAAATGGAATGTGTTCATTTCTGTCTTAAACCTTAAAGAACTGGAAGTACTTCATAACTTTAATTACTCAAAGTGTGTATCCATTTTGGCAGGGAGGGGGGAGAATATATATTTGTTGTTGTTTAATCTTTTATTTGGATGTGGTCCTTTTCCATAAAATTATTTCCCCCCAGGATTTATTTTATTTTTTAATTGGATTTATTGAAGCGATATTGGTTAATAAGATTATACAGGTTTCAGGTGTACAATTCTACAATACCGCATCTGTATATTGTATTGGGTGTTTATCACCCCAAGTCTAGTCTCCTTCCATCACTATTCTACCCCCCCTTTCCTCCATACATACATTTAAATAGGTGTTACTTTTTTAAAAAGAAGTTTTAGGGTCACAGCAAAATTAATTAGAAGGTACTGAGATCTCCAATGGGGGAAGCTATGAATGTGTGGTATTAGGAAATCTTTATATTTCTTGATATCAATCCCTTGTCTTTTACAGATGGTCTCTGACTTATAATGGTTTGATTTTTTTTACTTTACAGTGATGTGATAGTGATGCTCATACAACATTCTGTTTTTCACGTTCAGTACAATATTCAGTAAGTACACGAGGTATTCAACACTTCAATATAAAATAGACTTTGTGTTGGATGATTTTGCCCAATTCTGGGCGAATGTAAATGTTGAGCATGTTTAAGTTAGGCTAGTCTAAGCTATGATGTTTGGCAGGTTAGGCAGATTACATGCATTTTTTTTACCTTTTTTTCAATTTATGATGGGTTTATTGACAGAGGAACATCTGTAATATATTGCCAATAATTTATCTTCCTTCGTGGTTACTTGCACTTTAATATGTTGAATATGTTTCAAGTGTGTTCATAATTGCTCATCAGGGAATCTTTATGATAGCTGCTTTAAAATCTTGGTCCAATAATTCAAACAATGTGTTGGCCTGATGTCTATTGATTGTCTTTTCTTATTGCAGTTGAGGTTTTCCTAGTTCTCAATGTGACAAGTAATTTGGGGCTATATCCTGTGCATTTTGAGTATAACTTTCGAAGGCTCTGGTTCCCACTTAAGTCTAACTTAGCAGGTAGTCAACCTGTCAAATCAGAATGCATATCTGGCTCACTTGAGTGGACTGTGGTTCCAATAGTAGTTTAGTTTATGGAGTCTCTGGAGAGGGATGCTGCTAAACATCCTATAGTGCACAGGTCCCCTTCCAAAACAGTGAATTTCCCAGCCCTCAATGTCAGCACTGCTGAGCTATCTTGGCCCATATGCTCAACAGGGGCCACCTTACCGCGGGGAAAGGGCTTGGTACACAGCCCCCCATCAATGAAGCCAGCTTCTTCAGTGGAGGACAGAGGAGTGCAGCTTCCCTCAAGCGGGCATAAGGGTGAGGTGTCTGTCACGTCTTCCCACCCTTTCCTGGCCCTTGGCTTTTCGTATGGCTGGTGTGTGTAACTTCACAAATAACCCCAAGTTGGGCACACAGGGGAAAGAAATGCCCCAGGAAACTCCCCACTGGCTTCTCCTTTCAGTCCTGAGGTCCCTAGCCCACCTCCTTTTGTCCACCTCACAGAATCTTTGGGTGAGTGACTTGTGGTGTTGTGATTAGTGGCAGAAGTAAAATGGACTGTGTTCATCATTTCTGTCTTAAACCTTAAAGAACTGGGAGAACTTCATAATTTTATTTTGCTTCTCCTAGCTGAGTTTGTTTCCCACAAATTGCAGTCTTCAGCTTGATTGACTTAGTGTTTATTTTTCAGTTGGAGGCCCTCCTTCGATGTCTGGTATTTCTTTGTCTTGAATTTGAAGTGAAGACTGCTAGAATAAGAAGTGATTGGAAACTCTGGGTGGTGGATGTGGCTTATTTACTCTGATCTTCTCAGTGAGAGAATGGGGTGAGTCGTGGGAAGCTGCTGGTATCATCTTTATAACATATCTCTTGGGCTTGTTAGCTTCACAGATAATAAAAAATTCTTTCTTAAATCATGAGAATCTTATTGCAAGGTTCTGGCGGTGGGTAGAAGGTGCCAGTGTCTGAACATTATGCATTAAGTATGTTCAGCATCCCTGAACCTTCCATTGTTGACATCCAGGGCCCTACACTGTGCCTGGGATTCCCCAATGTGGATTCTCTCTCTTACTCTCCACAGAAACTAAAACTCGAGATTACTGCAATAGTGAGCTACATTAGTCCAGAGGTATAGAGTGGGGAGATCAATAGTAATTTCTTTTAAATAGCCCCCCCCCCTCTCAATACTCCTAGGGTGAGCATTCCATCTCATAGTCAGATCTAGACATGCTGCTTCTTTTTGAGAATTCTGTAATACATAGATCATGATGTTTACAGCTTTCTTTATGGCCCATTAGATTCTATTAGGTCATTTGCTATTTATAGACCTGCCATTCAGCCATAAAATCTTTTCCGTTAAGGTGTAACTTACACACAGTAAAATTGATCCGATCATGCAGGTTTGACAGCCAAGATATAAAAGAGTTCCACCGCCCTGCCTACTCTCCTCTGCCCCCATAGAATCAAGCCCTCCTACCTCCCGCCCCTTGAAACAATTTATGTAGTTTTCCACCCACGTATTTTGCCTTTTCCAGAGTATCACGTATGTAGTCTTCAGAGTCTGACCTTTTGTATTAGCATACTACATTTGAGATTCATCTATAGAATGGCCCATAAAGCCAACTTGGCCTGGAATTTTATTTTTTGAAAGGTTTTTAACTATGAATTCAACTTGTAACATATGTAGGAGTGCTCAGGTTATAGATTTCTTCTTGGGTGAGTTTTGATACTTTGTATCTTCAAGAAAAATATCCTTTTCACTTGAATTGTTGAATTTATGGGCATAAAGTTATTAGTAAATATTCCCTCTCAATTCCTGTAGTAATGACCCTCTTTATTCCTGATATTGTTAGCTTCTGATTATTGTTTTATATGTGAAGACTATTGTTTGTTTTTGTATGCTACTTTACTGAATTTTCTTTCAATTTGTGATAGTTTTATATTGATTATGTTTTTGTTATTGAGTTGTAAGATTTTTATAAATTCTTGATACAAGTCTCATCAGATATATGGTGTGCAAATATCTTCTCACAGCAGTGTGCTGCCTTTTTACTTTCCTGAATGTGTTCAATGACACACAAAAGTTTAATTTTAAAGAAGTCCAATTTATCTTTTTTTTTTTTTTTTTTTTTTTTTTTTTTACCATTTATACTTTGAAATTTATATCTAAATTGCTTGACCTAAGATCATGAAGATTTACTCCTATGTTTTCTTCTAAGTGTTTTATCATGTTAGTGCTTGCATTTAGGTCCATGATTGATTTTTAGTTAAATTTTGTGTGTGAGTATCTGTTTGTCCCAGCATCATTTGTTGAGAAGAGTAATCTTTTCCTATTGATGCCTTGGGAACTTTGTCAAAAAACAATTGACCATAAATGAATGGATTTATTTCTGGACTCTATTCTATTGATGTATGTTTCTGTCATATGTTTCTGTCCTCATCCAGTTCTACACTGTCTCAGTTACCATAGTTTTGTACTAATTGTATAATCAGGAAATGTGGTGGCTGAGTTGTGGAAACTTGCTCATGAGGTTTTACCAACTGCAGATGAAGTCAAGCAGCTCATGGAAATGAAGGAAAAACCTGTCAGAGAACTCAGTGATAGCAAGAGGCTGTGTGATCTAGCATTCATGGTGGACATTACCTCTCAGAGCTGAACATCAAGTTGCCGGGCCCCAACCAGCTTCTCAGCTCCTTGCTTCCAATGTGAAATAATCTGAAGCTAAATTAAGGCTCTGGAAAGTGCAACTCAAAAGGAATTACATAGTGCATTTCCCACTCAGGAAGGACAAAAGCCTTCTGCAACACGTGAATATGCTAATGAGTGTGGGAAACTGATTGAGACATTTAATGAAAGATTCAAGGATGTGAAAAGTAAACTAATGGAATTGAACATCTTTGTACAGCATTCAATGTGGAACCAACTGATGTGACTAATAACCTACAACATGAAATCATTCAGCTGCACAGTAATGATGAGCCAAACCAGTTAGGGAGCCAAGACTGAGTTTTATTAGCACCAGGCCCCAGAGTAGGTAAAAAATGTCATCAGGTACCCCAGGATCCACCTCCACATGCTTCTTCTTGCTGGCTGCGTATTAGACTCAGTTATTGAAAGAGCCTCTGGCAGAATTGGGAGGATGGGGCTAGTTGATCTCCTGTAAAGGGACAGTGCCATACAGACTTCAGGGAAGAT